TTCATGCCACAGGTGGATGACGGACTCGGTTCGGTTGTGGGGCTGCAGCTTGCGCCACCCGCCCGACCTGTCGCACAGCCCTCAGCATGGCGTGGCGCACGCGACGCGAATCGCGCCGACGCCCGCCTCCATGCCGGCCTCGCCGCCGAGCAGCAGGAGTGGCGGCGGCAGCGCCGACGGCGGCGGCGGCGGCGGCGGCAGCAGTGACGGCAGGAGTGGCAGCGGCGACGGCAGGAGTGGCAGCGGTGACGGTAGGAGCGGCAGCGGCGGCGGCGGCAGCTCGGCAGCTTCGGCCGCGGTCCCGTGCCTCGTCTCGTGGTTCGAGCTCGAGCTCGCCGAAGGGGTGTGGCTGAGCTCCTCGCCGACGTCCTCGCGCACGCACTGGCGGCAGCTGCTGACCCCGATCGACCCGCCCCGCCGGGCCGCGCTCGCGGACGGCGAGGGCTCCGTCGGAATCGCTTGGAGTGTCTTTTCGGACGAGCACCTCCTCCGATTACACGCGTGAGATAAATAAAAAGAAATGCATCGCCCGTAGACGCGGGGTTTTCCGGGGAGGCTGCTGCCTGTGGTCAGCCTCATCGGTGGTCGGTTCGCCCGGTGCGCCGGTCCGCCGCCGCCCCCCGCCGGTAACGCGCCGGTGCCGAGAAAAAAAATTGCGTTTTACCTGCGAAAGACACTACTCTCCCCCCCCCGTCACTTGTCCCCCTTGGCGTGGCGCGCCTCTCCCCCAGCTCTCGGTATCGCGTACTGCACGAGGCTACCGTGGGCCCCGCCTGCGCGCTGGGGGTTCCCTGCCCTGTCGGGAAGCCTAGCTCTGAACCTGGGGTCGCTACCTAATGCGGGGCTCCTGGACGGGTGATGAAGTTCGCCTTGAATCTCTCGTCTCGCTTTCCCCCCTACTCGCGTCCATCGGGGGTACTCCCGTGCCTTGGCTCTCTGATCTCCCCCTCCCCCCCCCCCCCCCTCCTTCCCTCTCCGGGATGAGAAGCGCGCTGCTGTCCCTAGAGTGGGGTCGGGTGTTGGGGGAATTGATTAGGCACCATGTTGTCCGCGGCCGCCCACGGACGATCGCCGGAGTGGGCCGAAGGACAGAGGCTTGCCTGCGTGGGGGCGCGCGGGCGCCCACTCAGGCTCGGCCTCCGTTGTCTCAGCCTTCAGTTCACCTCTCCTAGCGCCCGGTTTTGCGTGGCGACCTTCATTTCGGGGTCGAAGGTGCTACACACACTTGCCCCCTGGTGGTCTGGCACTCGGCGTTATACCTACTGGGGTTATGCTGTTTTTCTTTTATTTTCTGAATTCACGCGGTGTTCTTTCTTTCCTGTCAGTTTGGCGTTATCCCTACTGGGGTTAGGCTGTTTTTCTTTTATTTTCTGAGCCTCGGGGGGGCGGGGGGGAGGGGGGAAGTGGGTCCCCGCGGTGTTTTTTTCTTTCCTGTCAGTTTTCTTTCTATAACGAGCTTTTTTCTTTGGTTTCTTTTTATGCTTATGGCAGTAAAAAGAACTTTGTCGTTTGTGCGGCAGGCGCGGGCTCGGTCGATATCCCATACTTCGACTCACATCTTCACTGCTGCGGTGAGTGCCCGGGGAGGCGCGGCGGCGGGGTGAGAAAGATGACAAGCGCATAGATTCTTGGTGTGATCTGTGATCTTCCCCTAGTAGAGCGATAGCACCAAGCTACGCACCCTCTACGTCCTGAGAGTCCTTCTGAGGTCTCTAGAGCGCCCTCCAGCCGCAAGTAGCTCAACAATGAAGCCGCAGCGCGCAGGTCCAGAGATCGATTGGTTTCTGCGAAGTGAGAAAAAGAATTTTACAAGCCCTCCCTCGCACAACACTGGGCACGGGACTGGCGCGCACTGGCACTAACACAGGAAGAAAGAATTTTACAACAAACGCTCCCTCGACGAACAGGAAAGAAGCAAAAGAAAGAAACTCCCGGCGCGCTCAGCGATACTGTTGTAGCCTAAAGTCTGCCCAGGTTGCGGAGATGACGATCCCGGCGTGAGCACGACTAACTGACGGATCCGCTCCTGACAGTGGCATGCACCGCGCCGCGGCGCGTGCCACTGTCTTTGTTTGAAGTAAAAAGTCGAATCAGAGCGGCGTCGGCGTTGATCTCCGTTTTCCTCCCCCGGACCGCCCGTCCGGCACCGCTCCGGGACGCACGCCGGCGAAGCACCATCAAGCTGCTGTACGGCCCCGGCATCGCCTTCCCAGGCTTAGCTAGACTGAGAGATATTGTGCATACGGTCTGCCTCTACAATATATACACTGACATTGAACCTCCCAGAGCTCGTCCCGGTCCGTCACGGCCATCCTCGGCCTCCGGAGGGCCCCCGGCCGCGGCGCGGTGCGGCGGCGTCACAAATCCGACCACAGAGCACCGGGACGCGGTCGGGCGATCTGAGGCCCAAGTAGGCGTATGCATTGCCCATCCAGGGCTATCACCTGGACCTATCAACAGGCGCCTGTAGGTAGGTAGGTAGTAAGGTGAAGAACAGCCAGGCTCGGACTGGACACCAACGCGGTATGGGTGGACGCTGGACAGATGATGACGACACGCACGAGCGACACACAGACACAAAAAACTCACAAGACACACAGCCAGCTGGCTGCCACACACCCTGAGTCGGCGTACACATAACTCAGGGCCACATCCTCCCTGTCGCCCCCCCCAGCACTCCACGGTGCCAAGGCGCCGTGCTCAGGAGCTGCTGCTCCAACCTGTTCACACTTTCGCACGGTACAGTATAATGGCGGGAGCAACCAAGCCGGGAGCAACCAAGCCGGGAGCAACCAAGCAGCCTCGTGCGTGCGCCCGAACACCGCGCGGCACGCGGGGCTGAAACCGTGGCCCGCGCTCGATGCCGCGGCGAAAGCAGCCTCCGCAGTCATCGTCTCCCTACTTCCCGCCGCCGCCGCTGCCCGCGGTGGGCGCGGTCTGCAGCGCGTGCGGCAACGGCACGATGGCGGCGCGAACCGGGAGGTACGGCCCTTTCCTCGGCTGCTCCGAGTACCCGAAATGCAGGCACACGCACAACCTCTGCGCGGCCGAGGACAGCGGGCCGGCCGCCGCCAAGCGGCCGCGGCGCGAGGGCAAGTCGCGGGTGCGGGTCGAGATCGAGACGTCGGACTCCATCCGCCTGTGGAGCAGCGACGGCGCAGACGGGCAGCAGGCGCTCCGCGCTGCGATTGGCACGCTCGGCATCGGCCCTCGCCGCTCGTCGCGCCAGCGCGGGGCGAGCACCGCCGCCGCCGCCGCCGCCGCCGCAGTGGCGGCTGCGACCGGCGCGCCAGCACGCGCCGACTGGCCGCCTGCCGCTGCGCGTGAGCGGGCGTCGGCTGTGTTTCCCCTGTCCGAGCACGACGCCGTCGTCGGCCGGCTCGCGGCTGGCCCTCTCCAGCCGCGGCCGGTGCCCGCCGGCGCGCTCCGCCGCTTCCCAAGGGCCTGCTCCCTTCCTCTCCCTCAACCCTCTCCTGGAGAGCCTCGCAGGCGCGCTTGCCTTTC